TCTTTTTCTTTTAGGTTTTTTTTTTTTTTTTTTTTTTTTTTTTTATAAATTTTAAACTGTAAATCACAAGTAATCACATTACAAGGATAGTTTGGCCAAGTTCAATAACGCCGGAATGGTATATTTTATTTATTATTATTTAATAATATTTCTCTTTGCACTCTATTTTTTATTTCATGCTTCAATTTTTCCCCCTTTTTTCAAAATTTTCAATCAACGTCATGTGAAGCGTGACTGTTGGTGTCTAGCCTAGGACCCTAGGCCTAGTTTAGGGAGGGCCTATGGTAGGACTTAACTCAGCCTGCTTTAGGCCTGTAGTTTATCTGAATTCGTTCTGTCAGCCTTTGGTGTACCTATCTACACTTTATAAAGGGGGATACTAGCTGTTGTTGTTGCAGATATTATACTGACATTTAATAACATACAAGAAGGTCACAGTTAGTTACACACGTACATCCCATAAATCCGTAAGATTCAGGCCTACCGTAGGTAAACATAGAAAGAGCAATAAAAGTAAAACTCGAGCGTCACGACATTGCGAAATGTCTGCTCTTGTGTCCTCGTATCAAACTCGAGTCGAGTCAATCCGAGATGGCCCGTGTGACGTTTCATGCAAATGTGTCGTACGGAAAAAAAAAAATCGCAGCCGGCGGGGTATAGGAGGCCGCATAGCCCCTTTGAGCTCCGGGGTTTTAGAGATTTTTAAGCTTATTTGATGGCATTTCTGTACATCATTTAAAAAAAAAAAAAAAAACGGTTTTTTAGAATCAACTACTGAGCTGTAAAAAGTTGATATTTTTACATATTCTTCATAGGCCTAGTCTTAGCAGGCTTAGGCCTAGATGCTGTAAAACCAGAATTGATAATTTCGGTCGTTTTCGCGACATTAAACTTTCGCGAATAGCAAAAGGCCTAAATTTTATTCATGGGAGGAATATCATACAATAGCTGAAAATATCGTATCGTAAGTTCTAGGCCTAGGTTAAATAGGCCTACAGCCACTGTGTAGGCTACAGTAGCTAGGCCTAGGCTAGGCGCCATAAGCCTGCCGCCTACCTCAGCTGCTAGGATCAGGTTAGCTGGCTATCCCAGGCACAGATAAGAGACAAGTTTACACACACATACAGTACTCACTTGTATGATATTCCTAAATTTTGTATGGTATTGAAGTATCCTACAAAATG